AAAAAAAAAAAAAAAAAAAAAAAAAAAAAAAAAAAAAAAAAAAAAAAAAAAAAAAAAAAAGAAAAAAAAACTATGATGGTATTATTGCTGCTAGTTGCTCGAGGAAGACGTGCAGCAGCAGCAGCAACAATTGCAGCAGCTGCTGCAGCAACTGCAGCAAATGTAGCAAATGCAGCAACACTAGTTGCAGCAGCTGCAGCAGCTGCAGCAGCAACAGCAGCAGCAGCAAAGTGTTAAATAAAATGTTATTCCTTTATAAAGAATTAATTACATTATTTATTATTTATTAATAAAAGGAAGAAAAAAAAAGAAAAAAAAACTTGCTGCTGCTGCTGCTGCTGCTGCTGCTGCAATCAAGACACTGTACTGCAGCTGCAGTCAAGACACTGTACTGCTGCTGCTGTTGGTGGATGCTGTTGGCGGCTGCTGTTGGCAGCTGCTGCTGCAGCTGCTGCAGCTGCTGCTGCTGCTGCTGCTGCCCTGTACTCTTGGTGGTGTCCCTACACAGGAAGGTAAATGAATAAAAGGAAGAGAAGAAATAATAATTGTTTTGCTGCTGCTGCTGCTGCTGCTGTTGCTGCTGCTGTTGCTGCTGCTGCAGCTGCTGCTGCTGTTGTTGTTGTTGTTATGGTGTATATACACCTCAAGGGGGGTCGAGGGAGACTGCCTACCATGAATGGACCATTGGTCCATTAAGGGGTGCCTATACACCTGAAGGAGACAAGAGAAGAAAAAAAAGAAGAAAAAAGAAAAAAAGAAGAAAAAGAAAAGGAGAAGAAAACAAGACAAAAAAAAGGCCGAAGAAGGATTGCTGCTGCTGCTGCTGTTGCTCCACGATGCTGCTGATGCTGCTGCTGCTACGAGGGCGGCGGTGTGCTGCTGCTCCTGCTGCTGCTGCCGCCACTTGCTGCAGCAGCAGCAGCAGCAGCAGCAGCAGCAGCAAGAAGATGGCCAAACAATTGTGTAAATGTTGTGCTGTAGATATAAAAAGGAAGAAAAACAATAAAAAGAATTAAATAAATAAATAAATAAATAAAAAAGAATAAATAAAAGAAAAAGAGAAGGGAGACGCCGTAATAAGGGCAGCAGCGCCTGCTGCTGCTGCTGTTACTGCTGCTGCTGCTGCTGCTCCTGCTCGGAGGAGGGAGGAGGAGGCAAGGAATAAGAAGAGGGGGGAAAAGGAGGTAAAAAAGGAGGAAAAGAAAAAATAAATAAAAAAAATATAAATAAATCAGTAAAATATAATTATTGTTTATTTATATGATGATTTAATGGATTATTTGCTGCTGCTGTTGCTGCTGCTGTTGATGCTGCTCTCTTATCATCGTCGTCGCTGAGCTGCAGCAGCAGCAGCAGCAGCAGCAGCAGCACTACGACTAAATGAATAATAAAAACAACATCTTCTTCTTTTTATTTTATTTAATTAATTATTTTTTATTTATTTTATTTATTTATTTATTTATATGCATTTTTCTCCCCTTTTGCACCACAAAGACACACAACAAGCCCCGCAGCAGCAGCAGCAACAGCAGCAGCAACTAGGAGGTGCCTATACACCCCAGTGCACGGCGTGTGCGTGTGTATATTATATAGTACTCGCTGCTGCTGCTGCTGCTGCTGTTGCTGCTGCCTCTTCTTCTTCTTTATTTATTTATATACTTTTATTATATATTTATTAATAATTAATTATTAATTTAATTTTTTTTTTTAATTAATTACCTAAGAGACGAGTTCCTTATATATAACAGCAAAAGCAGCAGCAGCAGCAGCAGCAGCAGCAGCAGCAGCAGCAGCACTCGACATGTAACGTCATGTAGGGCCTTGCTGCAGAGAAGATAGTAAAAAAAAAAATAATTAATATAAAACAAATTAAATAAATAAATAAATAAATAAATAAATAAATAAATTTAATTATATATTTATTATTAATATTTATTGCTCTATATAGCAGCAGCAACTGCAGCAGCAGCAGCAAAAGAGACAATTTTCTTCTTTGTGTGCTCTCTTATATAAAAGAAATAAAAAAATATAGTCATACTTTATAGGAGTCTAGCAGCAGCAGCAGCAGCAGCAGCAGCAGCAGCAGCAGCAGCAGCAGCAGTATCTGGAGCTGCTGCTGTTGTGTTGCTGCTGCATCTGCTGCAGCAGTAATGGCGGAATCTATTGCTGCAATAGCAACAGCTGCTGCTGCTGCTGCTGCTGCTGCTGCTGCTGTTGCTGCAGCAAATACCTCTGCTGCTGCAGGGTATAATAATAAAATAAGGAGCAAGTAATTTATTTTTTTCTTTTTTTTGTCTTTTATTGTTATAATTATACATAATAATAATATAATTAACAATAATAATTAATAATAAATAGAAAGGAGAAGTATATATATTAATAATAATTATAATTAATAAATTTATTCTTTTTATTTATTTATTTATTTAATTCTTTTTTTATAATAAACAAATAAAAAAAAAAAAAGAAGAAAAAGATACACAGAGCTGCCTATACACCCCAACTTGCACGAGTTATCGCGCATGCAGCCCCAAAGAATTATATTACATAATAATACACATTATAGACAATAAATAAACTTATTTATTTATTTATTTTATTTATTTATTTATTTATTTTATTTAATTTATTTATTTTTCTTTCTTTTCCTTTCTTTCCCTTATATATTTAATAAATATATCCTTTTTTATTAATAAAGAAAAAAAAAAAAAAAATATATTTATATAATTA